ACAAGGAAACTAGTAGTGAGGAAGTATTCAGTGAGAGGTGGAGACAGAAGCTAGATTACAGTGGGGGGACATGATAGTAGAAGAGCAAATAAATGAGAGGTAAAGGAGTAGAGACAACTCTTTTTTAAAAGTTTGGCTTTGAATGGAAGGGGGAGAATAGAACTGAAGATGGATTTATGGTCCAGGAAACATTTATATACTAATCAAAGATTCTGGGGTGGGAGATATCGAGTATAGATCCAAGACAGTCAGTATTTGATGAAGGCAAGTTCAGGAGGGGGTTGAACAAGATGGATCAGAGCTCCAGAGATTGGGACAACTTTTCCACTGAAGTGAGAGGGAGATATGGCATATAAGGGGTATTCAATAACTATTTTTGAATAATAAATGAATAGACTCATGGAGTGATAGTTAAGCCAGTTTGCAGAACTTAGGTTTCCATTTCTCTGGGGTCTCACTTTAAGGCAAGGGGATTGGGTGGTGAGGGAAGGCTGAGGCAGGACTAGGCTTGCCAGCATAAATGCAGAGTAAGACAAGCACAGTGGAAAGGCCTTTCTTCTGCTGTTCTTCTAGATATCCCTATGACAACCCCCTCAGTTACCTCACTTCTTAGGGAAGCCAGAACTTAGGAGAGCAAGGGTGGTGAGGAGTGGGGAATGTGGCTGTGAAAAACAACCTTGGCTCAGGAGTCAGGAAACTTGGATTCTAGTCACTTTCTGAAATTTACTAACCCCATGGTCTTAGACAAATTGTGTAACTATGTATCCAGTTTCTGTATTTGTAACAAGTATGTGATGTGACCTTCTCTGCCTATTTTACAGATCACAGATTTTACAAAATGCTTTTAAATATACATATATATGTATGTGCTGTAAATATTGTAAAGCACAGTCCAGCTGTAAGGCCCCATTAATTTATACTCCAGATATTCTGAGAATGTGGCTTGCCTGCGCAGTGTCCCCTGTGGAGCTAATTCTAACTATACGCACGCATGGCATGGCCCTGGAGGGCTGTGTGCCAGGTTCCTTCTTGGCTACTACACGTGTTGAGAGCTTGGCCTGACTGATAGTGTAGAGCATTCCTGCTGGCACAGAAAGTGCCTGGAGGGAGAAGCATATTAAAATCACAAGCTCATTATTTTCTCAAGACTAAGATATATAAAGTTCAAACAGCTTTATAAACTGCCTCCAGAAATTATAAGGCAAAATTTAACTCTGCCTCCAAATTTTACATCCACATCATAAATGCCACTTCCCTCTCTCTCCTAATTATTTCCGTCGCCATCACCACAAATCAAAGACAACAGAAACACTTGCCTCTGCAGACTTCCCCAGATTTTCTATAGAAATGAATGAAAACTAAAGACATTGGTATATTTATCATCATTTAGCTCAGCTTCCAGATTCCTGTTAGGCCTTCTGACTAATTCCCATCATTGCTTGTAGATTCAGGTCATGTGGAAATAACTGTTTGTTTTCCTGGCTGGCATAATGTGTATAAAGTAAACTAGTAATACCTGACATCTACTTCTCACTGACATTGTAAAGGTTCATGAGATAGTGCCTGAGAATCAATTTGTGTTCCTCATCTTCATCTAAAAGCATTTATCATGCCAACTTGAACCAAACATGGGTGAGGACTGTGCCACCCATACACACATTTCCTTATCAATTGTGTGTTTTGAAATCAGATTTCTGGGTTCTCTGTTTTGTTCCTTCTCTGCAGCTTCATTTCCAAAACAATGACTTCACTGACCTTAAATTGTAAAAGCCAGTAGTGTCACCAGAGGGTTTAGTTCTTCATTTGGCCTTTTCTCCTCTACCATGACTCAAATTGCCAGGTATCATTTAGAGTGAACAAAGAAGGATTAATGGAACTTATAAAGAAATGATAAATGGACCTAAGGGAGAGAAAGGCTCAATATTGATAAAGGTTATAATACAAAAGAGAGTACAGGAAAATGAACTGAGGATTATGTGGTCCCTAACCCATAGGAGATGTACAGCAATAATTATATATAAATTTGTTTCTGTCGAAGTCCAACAGAAATGTGAAAATTCTCTTGGATGGAGGCATGGTTCAAAGAGGATAGCTGTAATCCATTGGAAACCACCTGCATCTCTTAATTCACCCTGTAAATGTTTACAAAAGACTTTAAGATTTGGTTCCTTAAAATGAAATACTTACAAATTATGGCTCATGGAGTCCACAACTAAAGCTGCATGGCCAGAAAGCTTAAAAACATCTATTTCTTATATCAACTGGAGACTCAGAAAAATACGTTTTGTTTTTTTCTCTAATAGCTAATTACTACATGTGTAAGGCAGCCTAATCTGCACTTTTTTTTTTTTTTAAGACAAAGTAAAATTCCAGATGGAAACAAGAGGGCCTCTGTTTTGGTGATGTAGCATTTGTTGACATTCCAAAAACACAAACACATTTGAGTAACTAGCCGCTATTAGGAAAAAGATTTAGGATCAACACTGCTAAGTACAAGATAAGAACAATGGGTATGTAAAGGTTGCTGCATAGAAATTATAGTCTGTCATGGTACACAAAATATTGGACTTACATAGATGATACATATGGAAAACAAAATGTTCTTATTTAACACTTGACTGTTCTGGATCTAAATAATGAGAATCCTAACTTACAAGCTCAGGAATATATATATATCACCCACTAGACTCTAAGTTCTCTGAGAGCAGGGTCACCTTCGTATTTACCTTCACATCCCTCACAGTGGTTTTTTTTTTTTTTTTTTTTTTTGGCAGTATGCGGGCCTCTCACCGTTGTGGCCTCTCCCCTTGCGGAGCACAGGCTCCGGACGCGCAGGCTCAGCGGCCATGGCTCACGGGCCTAGCCGCTCCTCAGCATGTGGGATCTTCCCGGACCGGGGCATGAACCCGTGTCCCCTGCATCGGCAGGCGGACTCTCAACCACTGCGCCACCAGGGAAGCCTGCTCACAGTGTTTTGAACAGAGCAGTTTACACAATTGATGCTCAATACATATTTTTGGATGAAATGATGTACATTTGCTTTCTCACCATTTTCTCGTATAATTGATAGTATGAAGGCACAGACTTATTACATAACATATTTTTTCTTCCTTGAGACTTTCCTGGGCCCTCAACAGTGTACAGTTGAATAAACGAAACCTAGGCAATGCTGGCATCCAAAAGACTTGCTAAGTGTAATGCACAGAAGTTTCACTATAGTCATGTGAGAGGACACAAAACAGTCTGCAGAACTGTCCAAATGTAGCTGACACTTGAGCTGTTGACAATAGCTCAGCTTTGGTGTTTTCTCTTTTACAAAGCAAACAAACAAAGAAAGAGAAGGAAAGGAAGGAAGAGAGAGAGGGAGGGAGGGAAGGAGGGAGGAAGAAAGGAAGGAAGGGAGGGAGGAAGAAGGATTTGGAGCTAATTATTAATATGAGTAACAGGATTTTTTTTTTTGGTATTTTTATTGAATTCTGCACATAACATTTGCAATGAAAACACTTTAAGTCCAATGACAAATTTATAAAAGGAATCAGAGGAAAATATCACATAATCAACTCACAGGTATTTACTGCTGTTTACTTAACAGAAGGCCCAAAATTATCATGTCAAGAACATTACAGAACATGGCATAAGAGCTTATTTTAACTCTACATTAATATGTGATAAATTAACATAATTCAATGTCAAAGGAAGACAAATATAGAAAAATACAAAATATGGTTTGATTTTACACTTTATTCAGAGTTCCATTATTTATTATGTCATTGTTTAAGAATGATTATTATTTCATTCCATACAAAATAACACTTGTTTGACTTATCTGATGAAGAGAACTACATTTAAGGATACAAAATTTTAAATTCTGATATCCTATAGCTTATGTTCGATTTAATTGTTTACAGTAACACTGTGTTGCTAGTCAGTAAAAGTACAGAATGTATCACAGACTATTGATTCACAAGGGAAAGCAATTACAGTGTCTCTCTGTTGTTTGAGAAAAGAATTAAAATGTAGTATTATGTCATGGATTAACACATGAATGTTCTCCATATTCAAACTGAGCGGTCATCAGATTTTAATTTTATCCAGGAAATTACTCAAGTGGATTTTTAAATATGTGCATCAACTTTACCACATATTTGAACTATGGCTAAATGCTAATAATCCTGTTATCTAATACTTGATACCAATTCTTTTTGAATAGTTACAGGAAATAATGAGTTTTCTTAAAATAAAAGCAGTTTTTCTACCCACTCCCCATTCCCTGTCCTCCCCTAATCACAGAACACATGTGATGAAAAACAATAGGCTGAAAAATGGCTAATATGGTGGGTCTCACAGTATGTTTTCTTTGAATGAGAATGTTTGTGGTTTCTTGGGTTGATTATTGCTTCTTTCAACTGTTCAGAAATCAGTCATTGTGATGGACTTTTTTAAAAGGAAATTAGAAAGGAGACCAGTGGAGAAGATAATCTTTCAGTCTAGATTTTTGACATCATACTGATTTAATGCCTATGGTCAGAGTGAGGGGACTTAGTATGTTTTAGATGGAAAATGTTTGGCTCTCTACCTGAGGGAGGACTATATTTTGGAAGTATCTAAAAAGGTCTGACAATAACAGCAACCATGCCTTGTAGCTTAGACCTGAAATTTCCCAACGTATCATTTAGAATTAAATTTTAGTCAAAGTTTTAAAGATCATGGCAGTGGTAGAAAAAAAAAATAACTTGACAGAGAATGAAAAGTGTAAAGAACATGAGATTTAAAGTCATTTGCTGCCATATGATCTTGGGCAAGTCATAATCTTTCTAAATCTTGGTTGTTTAATCTCTAAACTTCAGATAGTATTATTACTTCATAAGGATATTTTAAGATTAAATAAGATATGTTAATGATCTTTGAAAAGTATGAGATAATAAACAAATGCAAGACATCTCTGAAAAAACTGAAGTGTTGTAGTTGTATTTGTTTTTCTGATATGTGCATACTTTCTATCTGCATAAGATTTCAAAAATGGATTCTAAAACATTTAGCATATTACATAGAAATACTACACACACTGCTTGCTTTCCCTCATATGTGTAGAAACTTTTTAACAGAAATTATATCATTTCAAAAATGGTCTATACAGTGTCCTTAATAGGATATTCCTATTTTGTTTATAATCATACACTTTCATGGCATTTAGGAAAAACAGTTTGACAGTTAGTTTTACGTAAACTAAATACTTAATCTCCCCACCCCAAACCTGGTATTAAGAGATCACACCATGGAAACAATTTACCGGAAGAGATACTACTATGTTTTGTTTTCATATGGTCAGTTCACAAATTGTTGTAAGATACACTATTAACACAATATGCTAGAATCACCATTTAGCAAATTTCATCAACTTTAAAAAAAATAGTTAAATTACTTCTTACAAAGATCACTAACACTAATACATTAAGAGACTTAATTACACCTAAAGTGGAAATTCAGATTCACATTACCAAAATTACCAGATTAAATGTTTTAATGAATTGCTCCACTAGTCAAAACATACATTTCCTATTATGATAGAGGTTTTTAAAAACTGCCCCCTTTTCTGAATGGAAGGATATAAGACTATACTTCTGGACAGATAATCTCAGTATGACAAAATATTTCTGTATTATTCAAATGGACTATCATTTTAACAATTTCTCTAGTGTCCATATTTTAGCATCTTTCTATACTAATCTCTTTCTACCATAAACCAGCAACCAGAATATACTCTTCTTTTACAATGGGTATAATTGCCTATGGGCATCTTACCTATGTTGTACAAAACCTATAACCTTTCGTCTTCCCAACTGTCCACTAAAGCCAAACAGAAGTGTTTGGGTTATCCCTGAATTTTGTTTCTCACTCCTGAGCAAAATTAATTACAGTGTGGCTCTATCAAGCCTCTTTTTTATTCACAAAAATTTACAAAATTCTGTGAATATTATTTTAATTCATAGCCATTGTTTCTGGGGCCAAAAAGGTATTAACTTCTAAATGTGACAAAAATGCACCTTACAATCAGCTACAGTTCACTGGGAAACATAATATACTTAATTTTGATTTGCTAAGTGTTTATTCAACTACAACATTTTTAAAAAAGGTTCACTTGAGCAGACGTTTCATTTAGACAATTAACAACATTCAAAGATGAAATGATAAATCATAATTAAACCGTGGTCAAAATAAAAATATTTCCATGTTTTACATCTTGCTGAAGTCAATTAGCAAACATTGGAAACATGAATGTTTGGATTTGCAGTCTGTTCAGTCACGTGAGTAGAGATGTGGCATCTAAGTGACTGGAGGGGAGCAACATGGACATGAACATGTATATTACAACCATCTGAAAACAATACAGAATTTTCAAAGATGTAAAGAAGCATACAGACTACTAAAAGGAATTGGGGCTCAGTGACGTTAAAGGGACTTTCCTAGGGCACATGAGAGTTATTGGTAAAGCCAGCATGAAAGCACAGAGACACCTGCTCTACCAAACTGCGGCTTATGCGGAAATAATCAAGAGATCATAAGGCAAACACTCCTATCCCTCTAACCTCTTCCTACCTTCTCCTACTCCCAGGATTATAATGTTGAGTATGATAAAGCTCTGCTATAGCTTTAGCATTTCATATATGATTTCAGATCACCTTAACATCAAATTAAATTAAAAAAACTAACCTCCCCTCCTTTTCAGGTAATACATTAATCTGTTTCCATTCCGGAGAGTGATTTTTTCTACTTTTTCATGATCCCATTTATAGACCAGTGACAATTCTCAGAGGAGAAAAAAATCCCATATTCTCTCTCACAAGCAATTTGAAGAATGATATATTTATGACACTTTCAAGACTTAAATCTTATTTCAATTTATTCATTCCTTCAGAAATTCATAAAAAATCTGAGTACTTAAGTATGCTTCAAAGCCTTTTCAAATGCATATAATGAGAATTTGGGGGCTGGAAAGGGCTTTGGAGAGTAACCCAGAACATTCATTTTGCCATTAGGAAACTGAAGCCTAGCAGTGGTAAGTGACTTATCTAGGGTCCCACAGGCAGAAAGTAGGTAAGAATTCTGGTTTCCTGATATCTAGAATAATACTATTTTTACTACCCATTTGGTGAACCATACTTGATATGACAAGTTTCTTCATCTGGTACCATACTGTGTTTTATTGCAAAGTCCAGATTTTGTCTTTTTTTTTTTTTGTGGTACGCGGGCCTCTCATCGTCCCTTGCATCGGCAGGCGGACTCTCAACCACTGCGCCACCAGGGAAGCCCCAGATTTTGTCTTTATTTGAAACTGTAGCCTATAATAATAATGTGGATATGATATTAAACATACTATAATGCTTAAGGTTGTGTCATTGGTATTTTATAAAGGTAGCTCTTGTGTCTATTTTGGTAACACCTACTGATCCTTACTAAAACATCTGCATGTTCTAAGACCTCCTATTAGGACAGTTGTTTGGTTTGTTTCAATCATCCCGATAGCTGATGTGACCAGGCTGTGATCATCAGTTATGAGTATTAAGGTGGCTGGAAATGGACTATTCTCTGGGCCAGTGTCTCTACTACACAGGCTAACACAGAGCAAAAACACCGTGGTGGCTATATTTTCACTTTAATCACAAATTATCCAGATTGGAGGTTCACATAGCTCAAATCTGAGACAGCTGTCATTTTTTTTTTACTTCCTTTTTTCCTAGAGTGATCTGGTCTCAAAGTTTTGACCAGAGAAATTACCAGCAGATTGTGCAAAATCCATTGTAGACGTTGCCTCAAAGAAAGCTACCTGGATTGTATCTCCTGTCTGTTTCGCTGCTAGTAGGTATAAGATTGTTTCAGTTACTGATTCTTATATGTTAACAGTGAAATTCATCACCTGCATTTCCTTCTACAGGACATCAAAAAGTGTTATAATTTTGGCTTTCCTACAACAATATTTTGATAGTAATTGAAATTCTACAAGTACTCGTATTATAACTCAGCATTGTTATGCATTTAAATAGCAGGAGGTTGGAGTTTTACACATTTGTTCAGGTATATTTTGAAAATGAAATATGGAAATGAAAAGTCTTCTTTATATTAAATGTTCACAGTTTAACTTTCCATAAGGCTTATTAAATAATATGCAAATAGCTACCATTCTGCTGAAATGTCACAGTAAATACATTAATAATGGCACAGAAGTGAAATGTCCCCAAATGGGAAACCATTTTCATGATCTCCTAAATCTCTTTTACAAATAAAACTTTGCTTTTCTTTTTAACTGAAAAAAGTTCCATTTCTAAAAGAATATAAAAATAGAAAATGCGTCAAGAAAACTTTTACAGATACAATTCTTAAAGAAATTCTTAAAACATTAGATGAAATATTGTATATATCTTTAAGAATGTGCTTTGTCTCACCACACCAAACATCATATGAAAACTAAATTAAATTAGTATATTATATATGAACTGTTGAAAGGTATAACTAAATGTTAAAATTTTAGTTACGATAGACAACTTAAACATATAGTAGGTACTACTATATTTTTTAAAGTTAAGCTCTGCTAAAACCTACCTACAAGACTAATTTGCAAATCTATCATTTTGAATCAAAAAATAAAAGAATGTTTAATCAAGCAAGGCACATTTCTTTTAGGCAAGTCTGTCTTTAATACCATTCATCTGGGCACAGTGTAGACTTCGCTTATTTACATATAAACGGGCTAATTTATGTATGAGAGGCTTTGGTACAAAACACACGTTCACAAATAAAGTTGCACATAACTCAGAACAGAGAAGATAACATTAATATACATCATGATTAAACGTAGTCCAGTAATTAAATGAAAGAAGAAAACAGTGTAATAAGTTGCCTTGTTAGAAACAAACATTTAGGTTTTCTTTATTAGCAGTAGTGATTAGTTTTTGGATGATTAAATATCATCAAAATGTCAAAAGGTTGAAATGATACTTTATTATTTTTAATGTTCTTCTTTATTTCTTGGTCAATATCTTTTATATTGCACACAATTTGAAGAGAATCCTCCAGGTTCAGAGCTGTTTCTTGTATATGAAGCATTTCTTACAGACATGTTATTTAATGTCAACTGAAACAAAAGTATGTGCTGGCAGACAGATCACTGTCCATCAGCAATATAACCAACACTGTATTCTTGATCTAAGCAATTTAAAAAGAGCATCCTACTGGTCAGTGCAGCTCTACAGTTCTTTACGTAGGGCTCTTCAGGTATCTGTTGGACAGAGTAAACACAATAATTTACTGTATATTTAGTTTTTAAAAAATTGTAGACGTTAGGTCAATATTAAATATTCTACTCATTACACTTTTAAAAACTTTATTTTTTTTTTACTGTTACCTTGAGAAGTTTGAGCAACTTAATTTTCTAAATGCATTAACCACATATTGAGGGCTTTTAATTGATAAGTCAGAAACAGTTTCAGAGTATGCTGAAATTATGAACCTTTTTCCCCTTCTTAATAATGAACTCCAAATGTAGTCTAAACCAATGTGATTGTTTTTGGAATAGGAAAATTTATCTTCATCTTTAGAACCATCTGAAAGGTACAGTCTATTGATTTTTAGAAAAATACATGTATCAATTTTCTCAATGTATTTTCAAGGTGTTGTTTCTTTTCTGGCTGTGCATCCCACTGTGGTAATCTAAGAAGAGAACTCCTTTGAAGTGAATAGATAAGTGTTATGGAGAGGAAAAAAAAGGAGAGAGAGAAACAGTCTCAAAATGAGTATTTTGACAACCATGTTCTAGGTACTACAAATGTAGTACCTAGAACTACAGATAATCTGTAATGACAGATTACCCTGTCATTACAAATAACTTTCAAATCTATTGATCCTTTAAAATATGAACTCTGTACAGTTATATACCACTTTAGGGAATAAAAAATTAAGATAACAATAGCCACTTAACCAAGGCCTGTGGAGAACCAAGAAATAAGAGTTCAAGTGTATTGCTTTCCTCTCCCCAACTACAAAAAAATCATCTGGAAATAAGGATAATAAAGTGTTTCTTAAAAATAGCATAAGGCAGCACAACTCTCTTGTTCACTGCTACATTCGGAATATAGAATGGTGTCTGGCACACAGTAGACACTTTATATGCTCAGTGAATGAATAAATCACTATTACTTTGTACAGTGTCTACACATAGGAGCTATGCAGTAAACATACGTTGAATGAATGAATGGATATATAAAAATTAGGTTTATGTACTCTAGAGATTTACTAATTGTGATACTTATACATACAAAAACAGAAAATCCTACACCCAGCTTCAGATTTCAATATGTGAATATAATCCATCATAATACATAGAGAAGACTGTTTCTCATAAATACTCCTGGTCTTAGCAGGTGTCTCAAAACCAGTTGTAAATGCCTAATCATGGCCACCTGGAATTTGACTGTGCTTTTCATGCAAGACTCATTCACTCACTAAACTACATGGTGTATACCTACTATTCTGGGAAATTATCTAGTGAAAAGTCTTCCTTTTTGGTCTGGATTATACTTGCTCATCCTTCATGAAGGAAGTAACTTCTTCTTAACCCTGGTCTTCAGTCAAAAAGCAAGAGTACATTCTTGCATCACAGTACACTTAATGTTCATTATGAAAGTTTTAAAATTACAGTGGTCTACTAGCTATTGATGACAACTAATTATAAGAAATCACAAGTAACATGAATGATATGATAATCTTTTTATTTCCTCAGTGCCTAGCTTCTGCTCAATGCTACTGCAGCTTTGATTACCTTGAGATGGTTCTATTAAGCTATTCTTTTCTTGATGCACCCTTTTTATATAAGGGGCTGGGGCTTTCTTTAACTTCATGTGTCAATACCTGCTTCAAGACTCTTGGGATTATTAAGTCTGGTACAGCTTGGCATCCTAATAGACCGTAGGTGCGGAAGGAGTTGCAATTCAACAGAAACAAAACAAAAAATAAAAGTGATTTTAGATGGTAATCGTATTGTTTCTATTAGTGGCTAAGAAATGGGTTGAAGGGCTTAGAAAAATGAACATTGACTTAAGTATCAAAATTACAGAAGAGAGAAAGAAAGTATAATGGTGACTTATAATTGAAGATATCAATATTTGACCAAATAAATATTCTAACATATAAAGCAAGAAAAAAGGAAAAGAATAGTCAAATTTCAATAGCTATCAAGTCTGTGAAAAAGTAACTGATACCTCTACTCAGGCCTAAATGAAAGAGGTGCAGATATCCAGGTTACCTGTTAGCCTCACTAACTCGTGTCTGATGAGGAAAAAGCTGAAATCATTCTGTGACGCGGTGTTATGGGAACTTTGTCCTCGTGTGTCTATACTTTGACATCTACTAAATAACTTGCAGTTGGCTGCACATCAACAACTTCTACAAATTCTACCAGCTAAATGGTCATGAATTAGCCCCAAGGACTAGAAAGAGTTCTTGCTAAGTTATGTATAATTCTCTGATTGTCCTCTTGGAAATTATGCACTCTTGGGGAGCAGAAAAAGTTTAAACTCACGCAGTAATTAAAACTGGTAATGTGCCAAGATGTGAGCTTTGTCAAAAATCTGAAAGTCATGCGAAAATGAGCTGTGAGGTATAAGCAATACTACTTTAAGCAGTATTTAGGTCTACTAAAAATAAATCTCCTCAATTCACATAGTAATATATTTATAGTAATATAATTTATAGCAATATAAATTGACCTTTCAAAATGAGTTAAAATGTTTGCAGGTAAAAAGTTTACAGAATCTAGGTATAAAGCAACTCAGACACAGTTCTTACTTGGAGAAATTATTTCTCTCTATGGATTTTAGTCGCTTACTACATTTTTAAATCTCACATATAGTCACTCTTGTTTAACTGATTTTAATTACAATTTCTTATAAAAGTAATAGATTAGTGAATTCCTCAAATACACATTGCTCTTCCTCAAATACACCAGGTATTTTGTTTTGTCCTGTAGTCTTACCTGAGGTAAATATAAAATGTAATGGCATGTGAGGCTGCCTCTTAAATATCTAATACCTTGGCTATACCAGGTTACAACAGAATATCTGGAAAAACCCATATTGAGTTAAATAATAAAAATAAACAATGTTACAATTCCTCACCCAAAACCAGAAAAAAAAAAAGAAATGAAAATTATGCATTTTCAATTCTCTAGTCTGTGTCATTTCTTTAAAAAGTCCTAACAATGGGTCCTCAGAAGAGAGAAATGATCTCTGTCGTATGTGGTCTTAATTGTACAAAGTGATAGAAGATGAAAGAGTTTCTAAGTTCCACTGGTCTACAGATGTAACCTCAAGCATATGCAGACATGCATTAGCTTTGATTAATTTGGTGACGTATCTGGTAAGGAAATTGTGCCACTGCATGTGCAGAGGCAACACCCAGGTGAATCTCTGGTCTGGTCTGCCTGAGAAATCCAGGGAAAGGAGAAAATTCAGAAGTGGTGTGGGGAAAGTTCCTTGCTATTCACATCAGGAGAATCCCCATTTCCTACAGAAGAAAGTGCATTTGTTATCATATTGCCTAAAATCATGGCAATATCTGCAGTACTCATTTATATCAATGTTTTAATTAGTTTCAGTAATTCCATACTACACTTTGGCTTTTCGAGGCTGCTAGGAATCTCCCAATACCAACATATGCTACTGGATTGCCTCTCACCTTCCATCTTATTTTATTTAGAAGCAGCTTAAGTTTTGCCATTATAACTGTCATTCTAAGAATCCACCCTTATTTCTCATGGATGGATCTTCTTTCATACATGAACAAATCACTTTTAAAAATAGCCGATTTTTGTGATCCTACCACATAACTTGACAACTACATGAAAAATTAGGTTATGTTGTAAAAGCAATAATTTTATCCAGTAAGGCCTTATGTACAGTAATATAATTCTTTAACGTGATTCATTGATGAGATCTCTAATAATTTATTCAATCAGTTTCCATAGTCCTGAAGCCCCCATGGGTGTTTAAGGACTCACTATTAACTGAAACCAAGACTGAACTTACAGGGAAGTTTCTTGGAATGTCTGCTAGATAGGTAAGTTCCTGGATATATTACTTGCTTGTTCTGATTTTTGCTGTCTGTACTACTTGGGTCAACCAGTCAACAAGTATATACTGAATATCATTTATAAAGAGCATTCTATTAGCTATTAGGTAGGAAACACCGTCTCTGTGAGGCATTCTGACTTCCAGATACCCTTGGCGATTAGGAGCGACATCACATATAATGTTATATTTAACACGCCCCTGCTGGAGCATGTTTTGCCAAATGGAAGGCTTCTCCAGTGAACCAATGACGAGGAATTTCATCCAAAAGAGCATGGTGAGGAGTACAAGCCTCACGGTGATAAAATGAAGCATAGATACACAACACGAACACTTTGTTTGTAGTTTAAAAACGCTCAAACTGGAATGCTATTCCCTTCGCTCCCTCAAATAAATACTCATTAAGCACTAACCTTATTCCAGGTAATATTCTAGGCCTTGGAGGATACAGTCCCAAAGGACAGACAAAAATCTTTGTTCTCATGGAAGTGAAGGGAAGACAGCAATAAACAAAGTAAGTGAAATGTCTAATACTTTAGAGGATAAAACAGATCAGAGGAAGGTATAGGGAGTCCTGTGGAGGTGGCAATTTTAAACAGAGCAGCCAGGAGAGGCTCCACCGAGACAGTGACACCGAAGGAGGTGAAAGAACGAGCCGTGCAGAGAGCAGACGCTACAGCCTTCCAGGCAGGGGAATAGGAAGTACAGAGACCTGAATAGAGCATGCCAGATATATTTGAGGAAAAGCAAGGAGGCCAGTGCAGCTGCAGTTAAGGATGAATCTGAAGAGGAATCAGAAATAAGATCAGAAGGGTAACGGGGGCTAGATGAGGTAGGGCCTTGTAGGCCACTGTAAGGTCTTTAGTTTATACTCTGTGTGAAACGGGGAGCCAAGTGGGGGTTTTGCCGCAAAGAAGTAACATGATCTGACAAGTGTTTTAAAAGGAACACTCTGGCCGTTATGTTGAGAATAGACCCAGGCAGGGGAAAGGATAGGAGGCAGGGGGCCAGTCAGGAAGGTCGAAAATCATCTGTAAAAACCAGATGAGAGATAACGATGGCTTGGATGGTAGCAGAAGTGGTAAGACTCTGGAAACATTTAAAAAGTGGAGCCAATAGGATTTGCAGACAGATTGGATAAGGGGTGTAAGAGAAA